AACAACAACAACAACAACAACACATTAGGACAGAGTTCAGAGCTATTGTTTATAGGGTCTCTGACTACGTCGACTCAACAGCACACAACAACAACAACAACAACAACAACAACAACAACAACAACAACATACTTAGAACAAATCGAGACATCATTGCATGTTTTAAAATCAAGAAAGAGGTGTAGTGGGGCTGTATAATTTCTCCATACCTATTCAATCTTTATGTCAAACAAATCATTTGAGAGGATGGACCTTATGTGGCAATAGGATCAGAAGAAGACTTCTTAGCAACCTGCATTGTGCAGATGACACAATCTTGCTTGTCTAAAGTAGAGAGGACTTGAAACATTTGCTGCATAAGATCAAAGCTCTTCAGTATGGATTACATCTCAACATCAAGAACACAAAAATCCTCATCACTGGCCTGATAGCCATCATCTTGACAGACAGAGAGAAGAGTGAAGTTGTCTATGATTTCATCTTGCTTGGGTATACAATCACCACCCTTAGCACTAGCAATCAAGAAATCAAAATACATATTTCATTGAGAAAGGCTACTGTCAAGGATATCTCTAAGATGTTAAGGAGTAAGGATGCTAGTTTTTTTTTTGTTTGTTTGTTTGTTTTGGATGCTAGTTTAAAGTCTAAGGTGTATCTGATGCAAGCCATGATCTTTTCCATGACTTGTTATGCATATGAAAGTTGGACAATGACTAAAGATTTTAGAAGAAGAATCTTTGAGTACTTGGTGTTGGAGAAGAGTACTGAATATACCATGGGCTATCAAAAGGACAAACAAGGACAAACTTTCTTGGAGAAAGTGCAGCCAGGGTGCTCCTTGGAGGCATGGATGGCGAAGCATCCGTTCACATATTTTGAGCATGTCGATGGGATGGATCAGTCCTTGGGAAAAGATATCATGCTTGGAAAGGTAGAGGTCAGTATGAGAAGAAGACATTTAACAAGATGGATTGACAAATTGATTGTAACAATAGGCTTAAGTGTACTGGAGATGTTGAAGACAGGGCAGGTTTCAGATTTGTTGTTCATAGGGTCACTATGAGGCTCAGTTGACTCAATGGTACACAACAACCACAATAACAACAAAATGTGCCATCAAGTTGGAATTGACTCATAACTAGTCCTTCAGTAGGTTTTCAGAGGCAGTAAATATCATGGGAGATTGTCTATTTTTTTCACGTAGAGCAGCTGGTTGTTTTGAACCACAAGCCTTTGGTTTGGCAGGTCAACTCCTTACCACTAGGCCACCAGAACTTCCCAAGCATTGCTTGGATTCCATAAGATAAACAACATATACATTCTGAAACCACTGGGAGTCCTGGTATCCTAGTTTGGAGGGAGTTGTGCTGTTAACCCAGAGGTGGCACCTTTCAATGGAAAGTGTTAAAAGTGATTTTAAACAGATTAGATTGCATGCATTTCCACATACTTGCTCAAAGTAGAGAACCTACATGAGCTCTCTGTAGGATAAATCTGGTTTTGATCTTTTACCATGGGTTAGCCTGTGTTTTCTAGAACAACAAAACAAGGGGTGTCACTGGTTCAAGTCCAAGGAGCAGAGGTGACAAGTCAATCCAGGATCTAGTGAGCTTTAGATTTCTTGTTGTGTGCCATAGAGTTGGAACCAACTCATAATTAACTCTCCAGTGGGTTTTCAGAGGCAGTAAATCACATGGGAGGAGACTGTATATTCTTCTCGTTTAAAGTAGCTGGTGGATTTGAACCAGCAGCTTTGATTGATACCCATATAATTTATTTTTTTTCAGTGAAAGCTATATCCTCTAGGAAAACTCTCCCTAAAATGATTGACTGCTCATAGCCAGTCTCGTCATGCAGGTGATCCAGGTGACCAAAGGAAGATGCAGGTGACCACAGGTAAGACCACAAGTTAAGATTTCTAGGAAATGATTTATGTTACATCACATCTCATCAAGGAAATATCTACATCACAATCTGTCAAAAAAGAAAACCACTCACAGTCAAGATGACACACTACCTTTACTGTCACGCTGCAGATAGATCATTAATAACATTTTATTTCTGTCAAATCAATGATTCTAGAAAAATCATTATTTTTATTCACATCTGAAACAATATGAAGGAAAACACTTATGAACCATTTTAGTTATGCATCATTTTGGGTATTCGGAAATATTTTATTTTTGAGTGAATTATTTCAAAATAGGATTTTGGTAATAATAAGCAGCACATAATTTAAAACAAAAATAGAACAGCTTCTTGAAAGTTTGTAGTAAATACAATCATTCAAATTGTTTCCTTTCAAGTCCCAAAAATGTTAGCGCATTTCCAGCTTTGAGTTTATCCTGAAAAAGAAAAGGTTTCTTTTAAATAATTACTTGTTGTTGATAAATGATTCATTGTGTAATCTTTATTGTTGTTGTTGTTGTTATGTGCCGTTGAGTTGCTTGAGACTCATAGTGACCCTATGTACAACAGCTCTGAACTCTATCCTGAGCCAACCTTATTACTGTCTCTGACACACCTACCCACACTACCCTGGTCATGGAATCAATCCATCTCATCAAGGGTCATCCTCTCTTGCACTGTCCCTCCACTCTCCCATGCATGATGTCCCTCTCTAAGGACTGGTCCCTCCTTGCAAATATGTCCAAAGTATGTCAGATGGAGCTTCAAAATCCTTGCCTCCATGGAGCAGCCTGGTTTCACCCTCTCCTGGATGAACTTGTTTGTTCTCCTAGCAGTCCATGGTATATTCAATACTCCTCTCCAGCACCACAGCTCAAAGGCATCAATCCTCCTTTTATCATCCCTAGTCATTGTCCATCTTTCTGGTTGCCTGTTGGTAGGGAGTTGCACTGCCACCCTAAAAGCAGGCCGTTCTAATCCACCAGCTGCTCCAGGAGAGAAAGATGAGCAATCTCCTGCAATTTACAGCCTTTTCCCCCTGCGTCCCACCACCCGTTGCCTCTAAATATTCCTTAAGATGTCTTGGGAAATTCTCTATCGGTTTTCCAAGAAAGGCAATCCACTGGTCAATAACTAAGCAGCAAATCTTTAGGTTGTTGCTGTTGTTAGCTGCCGTAGAGTAGACTCGTGGTGCCCTGTATGCATAGCACAGAACTGGTTTTCAAGACTGTGACCTTTCAGAATCCAATCAGCTATGAAATACTTGAGCACCACAACAAGATAAAGGTAAATAATCCAATAGAAAAATGGGCACAGGATATGAACAGGCACTTCACCG